TACCTATATAGCGTCAATGAAATGAGAATTTTGTGTATAGATAACACACCAGTCTAATCAGTAATTAAACTGAAAAAAATAGTTCTTTCGATTTATGAAAGCCACGGTTTATAGGTCAGTACTTATATGAACAAAAATGGAACTGTCGATATCATCTGCGTTATTCGTAATACAATCAGGCAGCTTAGAATACACCTGAAAACCAATACTTGTCCCGTTATTATCTTACACTTTGTCCGAAATTTTGAACAATAGACATTCATTTAATAGAATTAGATTATATTGGAAAATATTGTCTATTTAATTTCAATGTGTTTTTCTTTTATCACATTTTTTCAATTGTTATTATCAGTAATTTCTGTTGTCGGAGCAACTTTCGATTAGAGTGGTCATAATAAGAAAGGTCGCAAATTTCTCTCGCTAGAAATGAGTGTTTATATGGTGACCATTATTATTATTATATTTTTATTACGGTATTACTTTATTCATCTCCGTAAATGGGTAATATTTTCTGACGTAAGTATCAGTTATTCAACTCTGTCTTTTTATGTTACGACTGAATTTAGTTTCGTAGCAAATTAACCGCCTATTCACTACTATCTATTCAGCCCGTTAAGCTCAGTATAAATTTAGCCTATATTTACTCTTTGTTACACAGTATTAACTAAAAATATACGTTGTAAAATATTATGCTTACTACAGTTTACTCTTTTTATTTCCATAACCATTTTAATAGGTATTTCGTTTGAATACGTAAATTAAATCAACCAGAATAAGAACATAGATGGTTTTGAAAATAAAAGAAAATAGAAAAGTAGATAGCTGGATTGTATAAAAAGCGATATGTGTAAGAGGAAAATAAATAACGATTGATACTCGGGTGACGGATAAAATAATAGCTATTTGTGACAACTCTAAATGACGGTGCATGGTTACACATAAGATATCTAAGATATAAGTAAGATTTGATAGTATAGCCGATTGAGTAGAAATAGTCGTAACTTAGTGATTAACTAATCCCAGTTTTCCGGTCAATATGATTCGATAGGCGAGTTTCTGCATATCAAAAAACTATATATTATATAGTATATCCAAAAAACTATATATTACTTTAATATTTATATAGGTACTTTCTTTCTCGTTTTATGTTAGCGAAATATATCAAGGCAATTAGTGAAACGAGTTCAAGGTAGGTTCGTTACTATATAAGTATTTCTGTTAATTCATATTTTCACTCTATTACCCAGTTCAGTCTACAGATTCAAAGAAGAGAAGAACTTTTATCATTCACCACAACATCGATTGATTGCAACTCATGTATCTACTCTAATTGCAAATACAGTCGTGAGGTAATTATCAACATTTACTGTATTTGAGATAGATATAGTGTATCCTTTAGAGGGCAGACATTTGACCCTATTATTCTACGAGTACAATTAGCTATACAAAGTTAAAAGAAAACAATACTCTTAAATTGTTAGATTAAGTTATTCTATAAAAAGAATGTTTGTTCTCAACATTATCTACTATAATATATATATATATGTGTATAATTTACTAATGCCATTCCTCCAATTTTACTTTGATCACTCATCTATTTATGACAAAGACATTGTTTTCATATTTTACTGAGCACATTTCTAAGTAAAGTATTTTTATTGTTTCTGTATAAATATAAGGAAAAAATAAAAAAGTACGACATTTTCAACAGTAGGCAGGTAAAGATCTACGTAAGATAAGTAGTACTTGACATATGTTTAATTATAAATGAAGTTCAGACATTTTAATGGTACTTTTCCCGTCATACCTAAATCAGAAATGGGCTTTGATGGCTTGGTAAATAATAAAATCTTTTAATTTCAATTCTTTATTCGACACCATATTTTATGCATTCCATTTAAATACCAAATTGTAACAAAATGTTGGTTTCGATCATTTATTATATTACTGTTCTTAAATATTCCAACGAGTATACAATGATCCTTTTACTGGCATTTAGAAGTATATGTTTTTTAAATTAATATATTTCTCTTTTATTATTATTTTTCAAACATAAAATTAATTAATAACAAATTAACTAAATATGCTTTCATTTTTAGAAAGTGCTGGGTATTTATAAAATGTAAATTAAAATTATGATAATGTAACAGACTGTATAAAAGGAAAATTATTTTCCTATATATTGTAGGTACTATAAAATCCATAACTATGAACCAAATTCATCAATTTCATTAAAGAAAAATATCATTTGTATCTACAAATTATTTATAATTTAAAAAATAAGATATGTTATTTTTAAATAATCTAATACATAAATTAACTGAATTTATACATATAATATCACCACAAATATTAACAATAAAGAGCAACTGTATATAATTAAAACAATTTTAACGGTGTGTAATAAATATTGTTACAATTAACTACAATAAATTATATGTTATGTTAACAATTCCTCTGAGGAAGATAAATTTAAGGCTATAACTTATATAAAACTCTAGACATATTTATTATGAGGACACAGAATAGCCCATATTAAGGGTTAACTATTTATGAATATATCGATCCTTGAGAAAAATAAATGTTGTAGGTTCTCTAAATAAAATTTATGAAATACCTTTTAGTTTTTTTTCACATATAACAAGATATTCTTCAAATTAAGTACCTAACCATAATTCAAAAATAAAAAAAATATTAACAATGCATAAGATTCTCAGGTTTAACACACAATATAAATGGACATAAATATCAACAAGTAAATAACACTAATAGCATACAAATACAGGAAATAGTTTAACAGTAATTATTACAAAAAAACATAGTATACTTATTTAGATGGCTAAATTACGTAAACTCTAATCACATCTAGCCATATAAATAACGTATAGGCAACTGAAAGAATTGTATTCGAGGTTTAAAGAACCCATTTAATTTCAGTTATTAATATTTAGCGTTTTATATATAGAAGTAATTGGTAATACCTAAAATGGTATTACCAATTACTTCTATATTATTTCATTTAATAGAATTAACTGAAGAACAATGTAAAATAATCAATATTCAATTCTACTGGGTTCACAATACATTCAAGATTATATCTGCTGCAAATTGTTAGACAGATAACATTTTGTCACAAAATGGATATAATGGTATTATTATTTAATATTAATTCACTCTCCATTATTTTAATCATCATCAATTCCTGTGAAGATAAAATATGGACGAGTACGTAACGAAGCGAAACTATTTAATAAAAACAATTTTATTATAATAGTTGTTTCAGCAATTTATTAATTTTTACACTTTAGTACATAGGTACACATTAGGTCCGTTTAAAATATTACTACAATATGAATACATTCAAACAAAGTTTTCACAATCCTTCCACAGATTTACTACTTTATATTATTAGTTGTATTTTTTATGAAATGATCAACAATTATTTTCTCTAAGAATATATGAGACTATCACGATGTTATTTATATGCGGTTACTAATTTCTCTCAGCTAGTCCTGGTTTAGGCTAGACTAAGCTAATGAGCTTGTGTGCCAATCCAGTTGATGTTTGTATACTATTGATTTTACTTATGAAAATATCTGTCTTTTTAATTAAAGTTTATTAGTTATTCACAGTAATAGAAAAAACTTAATGTAATACAGGATAATATTTTTAAATGAGATGTAAGTACCTACATATATCTAAAACGAGTAATAAAGTGACCTGTGCCCTTTCGAAAATCAAATATGTAATATTATCTTATTACATGAGATATTTAGGTACATTAAAATAATAATGATTTATTCTGGAATTGTAATCAAGTTATGATATAACATGAAAACAATTGCGTTAAATATATACAAAATTCTTGGTCTATTACCCTGATTACCTTTTAATTAAAAATATATAGTCATTTAATGCAATAAATACTCAACATTTAATCATTAATTGCTTTTTTTATTGATATAAGAATATAATAAATCACTTTCAAATAAGTACTCGTCCATTTAGTAATTAATCTTTATTATTTACTTATCAAAAACTACTCAAAATAATACAACTCACTTAAATTAACTATACAAATAATTACAACATACATGAGTAATATGTACTTACGTACCTGAAACGTTCGTTTTGATAAAATTATGTACAACTAACATACATCTGTACTTAGTCTTTTTCACTAAATTATTGTTATATTCACATTTATTAAATACGTTCACATGAACCTACAATTCCTTCATTCTACGTTGAAGGTTGGAATATAATAATATTGGTTGGTCTAATGTACAATTTTGTGGTCATTTAGTTTATACTACTTATATTATCTGTACATTTGTATAAGAATTTGTAAATGAAGACGTATGGATGTTTGTTATTCAAATACATGTGTATGATGTATGGATGCTACACATTTGGCACACAATTAGACTATCCGGTTCGTTAAGTGTTCCCGGATAATTTATAGTTGAGTACAGTACAAAGACGTGAGTTTTAGCCAATTAATAATAATACTAATTATCATGTGAATTACAGCATTCACGTTAGTTTATACAATATGCATGGAAGTTTTATTTATTTTATGAAACTTCAAAGACTATATACTTAGTATCTATTAACATTTGTATTTTTAATAAAAAAAATATTTGTAATTAATTATAAAAAAAGTATGCAAGACTCACGCTTCCCAACCTCGAAGTGTGTCAGATTATGACGTAATCGCAACAACATCCCACGGGAGCAACATGCCGCCGGCGACACATAACGGCTACACTAAAATGTACATGAGCAAATTGTGCCATGCTAAATGCCTCATTTAAATTTGACCACGATTCCATATCATTATTAGATAATTAATACTCACATGTAATTATAATTTATGTGAACATCGGGTTTTACTGCCTGCATATCTAAGGATATTTATAACAAAACATCCGAAATAATCCCAGCAATTTTTTTTATAAATAATTAATTTATTAATAACTACTTTAAAATTTGTTTATCTGAGAATATATAAATATTCATAACTGAATTACCAATTATATGTAATGGTCGTCCTTATAGAACTAGTGAATATGGCTATACTTCACAATACTACAACCCTAAGGACATAACCAAATATATAATAAGCAAGCTATTGCGTTATCCCTTATTAATATATTCCAACAACTTCGAACTCATAGCAAATAGAGCGGAAAAGTGAAGACGTGTTTACATTCAGTCCTATTACAGCCATAGATTGAATATCATATAAGACCGAGACGTCAGATACGCCTTAAAGTTCGCTGTACGCACTGTTCGCATTATTTTATATGTACATATAATATTATTCTGCTTAAATCTAAGATACTGATTTATATACATTAGGTTTTTTAAAGATCACAATTTTGTCCGTTTATTCACAACTATTTCTGCGGCGTCCAGGAACCCTCATACGGATATCTCTTGTATTTGCACTCTCTTCTTCATAATGCCTGGTGGCGCAGGCGCAGTGGCAGCCGGCGGAACGCGAAGGATTCCTGATCCGCTCGCACCGCCTGACTCTGAATCACCATTACAATCAGAAGCTGTTTCACATTCTGAGGCAGGCCCAAATTTCACTTGCGTCGAACTATCTACAACTCGAGGCTCAAAGGTACTGGTACGTCCCACCGGGTCCTGTGGCCGCCCATCTACTTTTTGAATGTCTGGCTTTTGGGTATCTATACACACCACACTACCGGCCTCAATCGCACTACCCACACTAACGTCCGGCAACGAGCTACGTGCCGCACGATGTTTCTCATCATAACAACTATATTCCCCAAACGTAGGTTCCCCACAATCCGACAACGTCCGTAAATCGAACTTGGAACCAGAACCGCGCGGTACGTGAGCCGATTTGCACTCAAAACCAAATCCTTTACCGTCGAATGCACGCACTTCATAATCTAATTTCCCATCGTAGTTGTCTGATGAAGATGAACTCCCTGCTTCAGCGAGATCATCTTTTGACCGTCGAGGACGAGTCCCTCTTTGATGGTAAATACCGGCAAATATTAACACATTTAGAAGTAGCAGAAAGCAACCTACTGCAATAGTAACAGTAAGCGCTGCAGTATATGATTGGTAATGTGACGATGCCAATCGTCGCAGAAGAGCATCGTCTGCTTGTACAGGTGTTGCAGTAGTATTCGGGGGACATTCCGTTGACGGGACCGGTGGCACAGGAGATGGTCGAGGTACAGATGACCGAGGTGGTGGCGTACTGCGATTACCATCAGAACCTCGGGCATTGTCAATATTAACGACATGTGGGACATGCGATCTTGACATCGACTGTGGCCTCACCGCACCTATTATATTAAACATTATTAACATTCATAGACATATGAGAAGTACATATGTAGATTATAAAGAAAAACACCGCAGTCCTCGCAAGCAGTGGGTCAGTTTGTGATACTAACTTATATGATAATTACAATTTTTCCATTTACATTAAGCTCTTTTTTACTAAAGTTGAAATTATTCAACAGAATGGAAAAAATCTCAGAAATATATAGCTTCATGAAATTATTAATATTCTCTGAATATAAATTTGTATTTTTTTTACCTAAGACTGAATAATAAATAGATAGTAGTATTTCATACATTTCCGAATACTGACTCTTGATATCTCAGAGGACTACAGTAATTTGACTAAAACTATAAAAGGAAAATAATGTGACCTTCATAATAGTTCGCATTGTCTTCTTGAAAATGGTGATGGCGCATCGCTGCGTCAGGCATGTCGGAGCCGGGTCGATGCAGTTGAGGTATAAGAGAAAGCCACAAAGACATTTTGTGGCCACGATAGTGACTTCGCATTTCCGGTTTACTACCTGTGACCCCAGATAATAATCACAAATTGAAATAAATGAATTTGGGAAACTGGGAATACAATGGAAACGCTGTGACCCCAAACTTTGTATGAACAACTTAGTTTTGTAGTAATTGTCTCCAGGATAATTAATCGACTTTAAAATTATTTGCCTTATTATCACACCATTAATTATGGCTAATTATACTATTATTTCAAGAAATATATTATGTCATACTTGTATATATTATTTATTATAGATATAGTTACATATAAAAAATGTGACTGTGCATAGAAGATATATAAGAAAAGCTATTATTGGGAATTTTATGAATTAAATTAAAATAAGCAAATATAATATATATTTGCTTATTTTAATCTATTGGTTAGCGAATACCATGAGTACGATGTCGCGAGCTCAGCTAGTCACTAAATAATTTTTGTAATAATTCATTAATTCTTGGATGATTACATGAATTTATTATAAGACAGTTACGCACTGATCTCCATATAGAGTTGATTGATAGTATCGTATGTGTCCCAATACGGTGTTTGATCGGGCCCAAGACGTGGAGTATCACCTAACATAGGGCTTGGCGGTGGCGTTGCTGACGGATCATTAGGATTTCTGCAACAAATCAAAATGTTTTAATTTAACTTCTCCAATTAATGTTGTAATAGATCGAATATCTTAATTACTTCACCAGAAGAGGATATTGGTTTTCTAAGAATTCACTAAGAAAGTACTGCACATCAAAGATTTGTTTCGCAATTAAATTGTGTGGATATTTGAATTAGGAATTTGTTATATGTAAACATTAAATTATAATAATATTGCTGTAGGTACTTAGTTTATAATCCAATTAATGTTAAAATTATTTTAAAATAAAGATTATAATATATACATTGAACTGTACTTAATTATATGTACGTGATATTTGCCATCATTGTATTATTTATCCTATCTTAATATTACGACGGTATTATCAGTGCCCTGGTCACGACTCGACTGATGGAGCTGATAAATAATACATTCGCGATAAGTATTCCTTTTACATAATGTGTACGTAAATAGCCATGAAAGAAGTTATCTTTAAAATTATGTATCTAGAATCTGGATGCAAATCCATAAAGACTGATACATGAAGCTGAAATCTAATTTACATATGTGTGTATAAACTTTTAAGACTTCACTCAACATAATATTACTCAATCTGAAATTCGCAAGGTTTATATGTATCAGCACGATCTAGTTACGCTTTAATTCATGAATTAAAATGAAGTTGGACTTACCCGTATCTAACAAAGTTAGCGACGTAGTGCATACAAAGTCGAGACACACGCTGTTCCTGCTGTGTAAAGTTTTGCTGATGATGGGCCTGGGACAGTGGCACCCCCAGATAGTAAGGCATCTCTTCACCATGGACGGAGCCAGGACGCTATCAACAAAACAATTATATTACTTACGACTTACATCAATTTCCTTAAATATCTCATATTTTTCCATATAAGCCTCAAAATGCTGTAATGAGAATAACCAGTACTATGTACTTGTATTAATCATATATTATTAAAAATTAATAATGATTATAGTTGTACTTAAGGTTTTAAAAATAATACAACAAAAATGGAAGTGAAAGTTAAAGTACTCTCTATTACCACTTTTGGACTAGATGCTTATCTGATCAATGACTATTTCTTGTATTATTTCTTTTTATTATATATTTATTACTAGCTACCCACCCCGGCTCCGCACGGGTGTACATGTATTATACATAGAAACCTTACTCTAGAATCACTCTATATATTGAAAAGCCGCTTCAAAATCCGTTGCGTATTTTTAAAGATTTAAGCATACCTATGTATGCTTAAATCTTAAATCTTAAATCTTAAATCTATGTCTGTCCCTATGGACAGACAGCGACACCGACTTTGTTTTATACTATGTAATGATGACGAGAAGATCTGTATCATAAGATGAAAACGTTATGGTCTACGGTGTTTGAATTATTTTGATATTAATTAAATTAAAAAAATTCTGACATAATCTCTATTTGAAATATAAAGCACATTACATTGGTGAATATGCTTACGAACAAAATAAGCATGTTAGTTAGGGTTAAGTCTTATTCCGCTAGTTCAATTATCCTCTACTAGAGTAAGAGGCTACGACAACAAATCCTTTAAGCTGGCTTGACTTGTAACAGCGAGTGCCTTAGAGCCAAATATCTGGCTGTCTTATGTTGTTCAAATAACTAACAATTTTAGAACCAAATTGTTATCGGAACAGACGCAACTTAATACCAGTACTGAAAGAAATAATTGAAGTACTTTATATAACATTATAAACAAATAATATAGTTAACAACAAGGCCACCAGTAAATATTGAAATAACCGGAATAATATAAAGACCCAACACACAACCAAAGTTTGTCCCACTTCAATGTAAGTGACCTTTTGCGGTGCTTTTCCCTACTTTCAGCCCTTTAAGTAACAAGGGTCAACGTGTACACTGCCAATAGAATACACCTATGAATAATATATTAATAGTCATTGGAAGTTTACCTGCGGATAATCTTTATCTTGTGAAAGATGGTGAAAATGTGTAAAATAAGTGGTACCGCCACGTAAGGCGTGTAGATAACCAAGTCTGATTAATGGCGCTGCTGTGCGGCCGTCGCTTAAAACCTACAAAAAAATAATAGTTTAGATCAAAAAACATAGAATTTACATAATATGAAAATTATATTCTCGATATAATATATGTAATAACATAATCTGCACAAACTTTGATCCCCTATTTCACCCCCACCCAGATTATTGTTCATGATACGACTATATTTTATTGCAATTTCATTCGGTATGTGTCATTCAGTGTCTTCATGGTAAATTTTATTAACATTATTCCGCCGTTTATGAAAAGGAAAATAAATCAGTGTCATTATTATTTTAACATACCATTTAGTGTGCTCCAAGAATGTACGTAAATACATTATTAAAGCATTTTCCTTCGTTTTGTGAACAGTCAATGTCTATATATAGTGAATAGTCAATATCAATAAGGTTCTTGTTTAGTGTTTGATGATGCAAGTATTTTTCCAATAAAACCTTTTTCGCACCCAATATGTACTGAGAGTACGCCAGCGTCATTAACTTCCTTTGTACATGGCAGAAGCAGTGGTGAGTTGCGAAAACCACTTGAAGCTTAAATTGAGATCTAATTCAATATCAAGCAAGTGGGCGATGCGAGGAGGGTCGTGTGCCTATTATAACTAGTTAAGTGACTGTAATTTAAGTACTTTCTCTTCTATTGTTTAATATCACTGCGAAGGGCAATTTATTATAGCGAAGAACTTAATTATATGTAAAATGTCTGTACTGTGTGTAGTGTGTCTGTCTTAACTCTTTGTCATAAAAACCCGATACTTTTCTATACTGTAATAACAATTTGAACTGATTTAATTTCTAATAAATCTAATAGTATAAATGAAGGTTCCGAATGAAAAAACTCCTGCGATCAGATATGTTATTGTACGAGGGAGAATTCAATAGTTTCTTCTGAACAAGTTATTACAAAAACTAGCCGAGGTATTAAACTAATAAAAATTCATGGAATAAATGCAAAAAAAAATTAATGTAGAATATAAAAATTTTCTTGAATAAGTGACCAAAATATACTACAAGTGAATAGTAGAATCTTTTGCATTCTTCCGTAAAGGTTCTAACGTAACAAAATAAATAATCGGAAACGGATTATAATAGAACCATAATAACATGATATTAAAGTTGAAATTCAAATAATATGAGCCTTAACACCTACCGTGGAATCGCAACGAAAAGCGTCATTAAAATTTCCATTTTTAATGTTACGGTATTATTGTTTTTTTATGATTTTTGCTTTAACGACTTTTGTCATGTGCTACTGAGCGTCGACTGTAGGACGACATTTTTTATATGACTGCCCAAACAAAAGAGTGTAATGTTTTCAGGGTTCATTATGTATGTTTATTCATTTCTATATGACTTTTTGTATCATGCAAATTACTGGATGTATTATAACCATTAGCCTGTTATTAGATTAGTCATTACAATCCACGTGTACAGTGATACCTAAAATTCTACATAAATATCTAATTAGGATCTTCATTCAAAAGAAAAACAAGTGGTTATCCTATAGTTTTCTAAAGTAGCTTTATTTATTATACATTGACTTTATTATTAGAAGGTTTTATTTATAAATACGTCTACTATTTGTATAGTTATCATTGGCAATCATTTCATATTCATATTTCATAGTAGAGAGAAGTCATAATTGTTCTTGTTAGCTTTTGCTTAGAAAACTAACGTTAGTTTTGTAAGCAAATGATTGCCAATAACAACTATACAAATAGTAGACGTAACTAACATGAAAAATTGTGGGTTCTCCTTTTATCCTTTATATTACCCATTTTAAATTTTACTTACGTGATAAAAATAATCACAAAATTCAGTTGCATTTTCACACATTAACCGTTCACAATACAAGGATAGATATTGTAATTAAATACCTCGAGTGTAGCATCCCGAACGCTAAGTGGATTTTGAACTGGTTTATCCCAATCCGTGTATTCGTTCTTCAGGGTTGAATAGATCTCATTCAAGTGATAGTAGTAAGCATTACGGACGAATGTACGCAGAATGCGGTCCCGGCGGCTCTCGTTAAAACCAAACTCCAAGTCTTGTGCGTTGAATTCCAAGTACGATTCTGCAAGCAGTGACATGTCCTCATTAGCATAAATTCACTATTTAAATGCATTCTAATTCAATTTGTGTTCCTCTTTCGACGATAACAGCAGCTTACGTACTTTACTTTGATACAATAATCATTTGAGTTACTTTAAACATTAATTTAAAGATATTGTTATGAAGAAAACTTCCGATGATCGTGATTTCAAGCTCTGGATAAAACAAAGTTTATATTGGTAAGTTTATTGTTAATGTTTAACTGAGCATTTTAAACGTATAATTTTTATTTAAGTATATCAATCATTAGTCTGGTATCATATTTATATTATATATAGGATACAATAAAAACAATTATGAAATATATATATGACTGTTCAGATTATCAAAAACTATGACCAGTAACAGATCAATGATCAAACGATTAGGATTTCGTAGTCATGAACATACATATATATTTACCTTAACTTCTACACATATGTATGTAATATATATCCAAACAAATACGTGCATACTACTTTCAATAACCTAATAGTAATATTTACCTTAACCTTACCTTAACACATATATTATATAATTATTCACACAGATACATGCATACTCAATAACATAATCGTTATTATAAGAGTCTTGACCTTAATCAGGATGTAGATTTTAAAGACATATTTATTTATAGGCAATATACTAAACAATCTCAATTTTGATAGATTTTCATATTGTTACATCTCTTCGTAAGTAGGCTACCTTGTGTGATTGGTAGTAAAAATAAATTTTAAAAGAAAGGGAGAAATTTTAATTTTGTCGTCCAATTCTTATTCACATAATATATTTTAATTCCTATGTGAATATTATAACAATCACAACTAATATAAATCTACCGATATATACAAATGTTATCACGTTATTAAAACCACAGGCTTAGTAAAAGAACCACACACATATTGCATACAGACACCCGAAAAACATTACCCTTTATGGCACAATCCTTTGATTATTTAAGAGGGATGTGCCTTCCGCTCCAAATAGTATTACAATTTTTCTTCCAATTCTCGTGGGGGACGATGTAAACACAAAAGCACACTACTACAGAGTAACTCACACCTTTATAAAAGATATTATTATGTTATACTCACATTCGTATACTAGTAAAATGAACGTAGTATATATACCCATATATACCTATTATGTCCTAATGATAAAACAAGTCCAACATATAAGTTAGACCAAGATAATGTGCACAACCGTGGCGTGGTCATCTTCATACAGCTAATTAAACCGCGATTATCTTACCAGTAGTAGTAAGTCCAAATAGCAGTTCTCTATGGGAGAAGTCTGCCAATTCATGGCCCGCCGCATTTGCTACAGCAGCAGCTCCCGCGCCCAATCGCGAGCTATCCGTCGGCGGAGGAGCCTTTATAAACATAACACTATAATTATAAAATTCCTTAAACATTACTCGTTCATTACATTAGACGATAGAGCAATAAATGAAGGAAATTATAACAAGCTTTAATAAACTATTTCTATTAAATCTATATTCAATAGAAATAAATTACTTTAAAAGGTATAACAATTTATTAACTTATTAATTACTCTTAATTATATGTTATTAAAACATAATCCATGGAATGAAATTAGAAATGTTTGAAATAACAATAAAAACATAACACGAGTACGTATGCTCTGTAATTAAATGCTACGTCATTTCGACAACTCCTTAAGAAACGGTAGATTAATTTCCTATTTACAGTAATTAAAGTCTCACAATAAGGCTTACACTTTAATTGTATACTTAAATATTAACCCTGAACATGAAATAATTATACATATTCTTAATAATAGTAAAGAAATGAGAAATGCCACTACAAAAATTTGTCGTAACAAATTTTCTGTATTCCAGAAAGATCGATCACCTGTGTGACATAAAGAAACTATAGGAATGTGGAGATCTGTAGATTGACCTTCTTACATATACCGAATCATCTTTTTGAATGTTTTTTTAAACAGAAAATAGCTAACTTATACGAATAATGTTCATAACTTACTCCAATTGTAACTTGTAAAGATCTAAATAGATATTTACTTAAAGGTTACTTTTATATAAAAATATTATTTTGATACTACTCGTATCGAATTCTATTAAACTTTATACATCAGTTTGAGATGAGTTAATAAATAACATTCCGAATATTCGAAATTAAGTTCTTCAGAGTTAAAAAATTGTTTAATGTTTGTACTTTACAAATACGTTGCTATTACACACTTCAAGTGCTGGGATAATATATAGGTACTAGGGTTCATATATTAGGTGGATTAATTTATGTCGCTATGGGTAGATGGAGGTCGACACGTAGTAAGGATTACAGCTGCTAAGAAACATAGCTTACATTGTAACAATTTATTCGAGGTATTCTAGATGTTCATTTAATGCCATAGATCATAGTTCAATGACAACACTCATAATATCAATAATTCTAATATAAATATCCATTTTATTATTAGCGAAAAGTTTTTTTTTATATTTATGTATAGTGTTTGGTAAATAGAATGTTTGTTCATTAATTTAATAGTTGTTTTTACAAAAAAAAACTAATATGAGAGAAACCACAGGTGGGGTAGTAAGTAGTTAGACACATGGTCAACTGTCGATGCTGCGGTGAACGCAATACTCTAGGTTTCTCGGATTATTAGTTTGATATTGATGTTTCCTTCATCAGAGAGTCAATCAGAAACATGAATTATTTTTTTTCTTCAGCAGATAAAACTATTTTAGTAACGTAAATGTGTTTAAACTTACGGAGGACGGATTCACAATGACAGTGCCATCAACAAATGGCGCAAAGCCAGGCAGAAACCGCGGGGGATCTAGTTTCACGGCGAGCAGCTCAGCCAGTGGCTTGTTGCGCAAGCAAGGCGCCAAGTCGTCTTCCAACAGATCTCCGTGGCATCCTGTTTGTTCTGCTACCTAGTAAAATGTATTTAAAAAATAAGTATTATTTTATAAAGATAATAACTATACAGATAATAACTATAAAGATAGAGAACTGTAAAGATAATAACTTCTGCAACTGAATGCAATGCTTAATAATTTCATTGGCCCTACAAAATGCATACAATTCACATTTTTATAGTCTATCTTCGTAAATTTGCATTATGCGTATATAAGTAGGTATTACATGATTGAAAATTCTGCAAATTATTTCTAAATAAAGTTTTTTTTTAATTTCAGCAAAAATCAATTAGTAATGGTAAATTTAAATTTACTACTATTGTATTTATAATAAACGGGCAACATATGAAATAAAATGTTGTTGTTAATTATAAAGTTATTTTTATTTCAATATATAAACGTCCCAATATAAAAATATGGAGATATTATTTGCTTCGTTCATCTCATCCCCAATAATGTTACCAACTATTTGTATATATAGGTAATTTGCTAACACCTACAAACATATAGTTGGGCGAATATTTTTAGAAAGAGTATTTACAAAGATATACTCTTTATAAAAAGACTCTCCCATTTTCAAAAGCTGGAAATTACCTAGTTTATAAATCACGATTTTCTTCAGCATCAATAAATCCCAACACATTTACGGGAGCAATTACAATTTATCTTGCCTCATACGTTTAAAGATATTTAGGTACAATCGTAACCCGAGCTAATTCAGAGAGCGAACATAAAAAGATTTTTCTTGGGCCTTCCTTCAAATTGACTGGGTAATAATATCGCCAGTTTTTAAGATCACATCCACCCACTCCGTTTACGTAAAACTCACACTCAGTTGAAACTTGTTCGAAATGCGGAATTACCCACCTTTCTTTTTATCGTAAGCGGTTCCCTCTGCAGAGCCCAAGAACTCAGCCCCGACCCGCTTAACAAGATGACACGCTTCAGTAGTTCTGAAACAGATATCTTAATTTAATTTCGTCATTTCGAAGAAAGATCACGGAGATAATGAAATCTCTTCTAAAGAAAAACATTTGTATTTCATCCTTCTTTTCCGGTGTTTTTTATTACACGATTTTTAAAGAGAAAAATCCGTCGGAATTTTGGCCTTATTCTAAAATCGTGTCGAGAAAACTCTCCCTCTTGTGTATGCCTGATGTGACCCTTTTAATCGCATTAAGTGACGGAGGATCTAAACGGGATGCTGACACGAAATAATGAAATCTGCCTGGACCGGTCTAATTACGAACAATAGGCGGCTATGCCTCATGCTTGTGAACGGGCACTGTTTGCGGGGACGGCGGTCTTGTTTCATGACTGTGGTGGTACTTAATTAAATTATTGTTTTATATGTCGACACGTATAACTGATATTTACATTTTACGTTTATTAGCATATAGATATAAACACATATGTATATCCGTAATACTAATATCATAAATTTAAACGTATATCAATGTGTTGGCCTGTTTGTAACCTTTTTAAGACTAAATAGCTAAGTGGATCCTAATGTAATTAGATTGTATTACGAGGATGGACATAGACTAGATTTTATCTCAAAAAAAAGCGAAAAAAGTTATTCGTAAAAATTATAACTTAAAGTTATTTTAAACTTTAAGTTTCTTTAATATAATAATTTAGTAGAAAAATGGTTACTACTACTACTAGTATTGCATACTATACTAGTTGAATATTTTCAGGTCCATCGCAATCATTTATAATTATAATCTTTTAAAGAACCTCATTTACCAACATATAGCAACATATACTTGTAAAGTAAATCCGCATATAACGTTAACCACATGTTTTCTATTAATTAAAGACTGCTCACCTTCAGAGCTTTACTGTTAAATTTTACTCTGCGAATATTGTATGATAATTATAGTATAATAAAAAAGTGTCATATTTATTTAATAAGTTGTTTTTATCGGCTGCAACTATTTTCTCAGTAATGAACAAAATGTTGACAGGCATAAATTCTAATAAATGACAAGAAATATCCTGTAGGAATAAACAATATCTAATTTTAGTGGCCCTTAGATTTTTATACCTTTTAATTTCTGTAGGAGTTATTGAAATAGAATTGCCAACACAAAAATCGAGTAGAGTAAAAAAAATCTCAGTCAACCTGTATTAATAGGGTTATGAACCCCATTAATGTGGGTTGGTAAACTCACTCATACATCACAGAAATTATTCTTATTAAAATAAATGCGTTTTGTATTTCCGAGGACCTTTTCTATGACACCCCATTTAACGGGCTGCGTGCTAATTAATTTTTTCATCTAAACGTTTTGATGTAATGTATAATATAAATGAACAAATCATAACCTAAGTGTACGCACATAACAAACATTTATTAATCGCTATCTGCACATGTAAAATATATAAGAATAAATATTGTGACGGCATAGTAATGACTTTGTAGTTCAACATATATTGATAGATGAAAGTGAACTGACTTAATGTACATTATAATATTGATATTATATGCAAAATAATAATAGTAAAATGTTAGAAGGGGTGATATGGTTAGTGCAGTGCTTAGTAAACAATATTCAGTTTGTTTTACTGGTCTTAATTAACTGTTATAATACAGTTTTCTAATATAATACAGTATCTAGGTAACTGTGTCCTATAAATATTATACAGGAACTTCATAATTGGGGAGCTTTTATAGTGCAATAGAAAACATAACAATGATAATTTATTAGTATTTATGCCTATTCGCTAATCTCTAAAGCGGATTTTATAATTTGGGTACGATTTTCAGTTATGTATTATGATTTTTTTATTCTAATGAGTATACAAACAAAAAAGTTATAAACTAAAATTGTTGCGAGTATCACGGATAGAAAGTTATAGGCTCAGTATAATAATCCAAAACTATATATATTTTGTCGATAGTTCGAAAAGCTACTTTTCCCACGGAACTATTTGGAATTATTTAATCCAAATAACAAAATATTCATAATTAAAATCTCTTTTAAGGTAAAGACCTAAAACGCGTATTCACGTGTATATTTTGCAAAAACCTTTTATACTAACTTAGCTGAACCATATTGTCCTTTTTTATCGATCTGCTTAATTTTAAAATTATATTTTTTAAGAAAAGTAACAATATACTCAAATAAATAATTTAAATATGTATATAATATTAGCTTATATAAACAAGTACACATTCATAAAATAAATAACAAACCTCTCGCTACAGGCGATACTGCTAAAAAGTTGGCAAGAGCAGCCCCAGTTCCATGCCCCATAATGGTCACCCTCTCAGGATCACCTCCGAATGCCGGTAAATTCTCTCTCAACCAGTGTAACCCCGCCACTAAATCCATAAGTCCAAAGTTACCCTGCGCCGACCCCTTAGCACCAGTCTTTAAAAAACCTGTAATCATAAAATATTACAGTTCTACTGACTTTAATAAAAACACTAAATAATAATACAGGTAGTTAAACGTACTTAACGTTATATTAATTATTATAACATTTTAATTGATTATTAATGTCACAATTGATAGAATTTTGATAATATATTCTATTTAAAAAATTCTATCTGAATTTATTATACATAATAATAATTGGATAAAATAATTAAATTTAATACATGTAAACGAAATACTTCCAATTTTCAACCCTGAAAATATTACCAACATAAAGAGCAGAAGAAATGTTATTAAACATTACAACGAAATATGGTCCTAAAATTTTTATCCGTATGGACTGTTAGTTTAATCTAAATAGCAATACTAGTTATTTTTAAACACGATAACAGACTACTAAATCAGTTTTAATGTAAAAACCTTGTCGTTTAAGTTTGGACCCATATAATCTGAATACTGACTAATGGTACCAAGTACGACAGTAACTAAAAGAGAGACATATATATACATATATATAATCAAATTATCCTCGGTACCTCCAAAATTAATCTGTTAATTTAATATAACGAAATGTCCGGTATTCGTAAACAAACTTATTTGGACAGCAACAGAATCGGTCCCTACTACATTATATTCTATTATGCTCAGCAAACGTTATATATTCAATACAATAGAAAGTAGACAATGCAAATGAGTACCTCACAAAGATGATAATCATAAAAGTGGGAATATATTAATTATAAAGAAAATTAATCTTATAATATGAAAATCATATTCTAATATTAGTATGGTAAAGAAATAAACGGCCGCTTGCTTTCTACTCGTAGAAATGATACAGTCACATAGTATTCAAATAATTGGTGCAACTCAATGTTACTTTAGATTTTTTTATATAAGTTCCTATATTATCAGAAAAAGCTATCAAAAGTAAACACTAGTAATATGCAATTACATATTTCTAGGAAAGGTTTTTGATCGTCTTTCGTATATATTAATGATTGCTTACTCAACAGTGCTGACGAACCTAATGATATGCTATACATTATTATTTTAATAGGTATTAGGAGATAGGACGAGAATGTTGTATAATGTACTACTACTGTTGGATATGTGCCAATACATATTCAAGAATGTCGTTCCTGTACTTGGACTAAATTATATGCCGGGTACTTTCGCATTAATCTTCAGGTTAAAATGAGTCCGTAAAAAATAACTACTTAATATCTTAAAACGTTATAGACCATAACCTTAATAAAAATTATTTATTGGATTTGATTTCTAATTTTTAATCCCACAAAGTCAATGTAATTTTTATACATAAACAAACCCTGTCAAATGACCGATTTTATAATATAAGTGCTTACTAAACCATGTATTGTACTTAACTTCTAACTGCAGTTTGGAAAATTATTATGTATGTGTAGTCATAAAAGATTAGTAGAAATAATATATAAAAAATATATTTTTATATATTAATTACGTTAACTTTTGTTTAATAACAGACTTAGTTAAAATATCAGTACCTACAAAACATTTTAAAAACGTGCAGCACTGAGTGAATATCACTGTGAGTAGCACTAAGTACTTTATTTTTACAAATCAATACATTTAACCACCAACCTATGCTATATTTATTTTACAGAATAAAACAGAGGACGCGTGATGCGGGTCAGGCTGGGTCTGTTGTGTCACTCGTGTCATATCGGAAAATTACGGTAAAGATTGATCGCCCACGATTGGTTATACACAGTAACTACTCAAGAACATCTTATTGTGAAAGGTGTCTCTTGCAAGTAATTGTTTTATTAAAATAAATACATAGTAGATATAATACAATAAAGTGGAGTATTCATACGAGCTGATTAATTCAGTATTAAAGTTTTTAAATAATTTCCACTTTATTACTAGCTACTTTATTACCATCACTGATTTTCGATTTAAACGAATAATATTTAAACAATAATCATTAAGGACGGACAAATAATACATGTAATAAGATCCAGACCAATACATTACACCCATACTCATGAAACAAATTTTTATATCCTATGGAAGTCAAATCGGTGGCTATAAAGATGAAGCAGTATGTCAGACACACCACCAAGGTCATCATTCCGACATTGATGATATAAGTTCAGAAGTAGCAGGTACTTATGAGTCTTATTATCACGATATGACTTCATAAACTCCATTCTGAAACTCTCAGGTATATTTGAAACTTTGCGGCAGAGTTATGTTATTCAAAGGAAAGTTAAGATTTGATTATATTACAATGTCTATAAAAGATGTAAAATCAATAAACTGTACTTCCGACATAGACCTTTCGACGAAAATAACATTGGCATAGAGCATAAATAATATAGAGGTTCTCAGTAAGGTTAGGTTATTTTTGTAGACATATAATATCTGGAATAGCAAATCAAGTTGACTATATTATGAATATACAGCAGAGTCACAAGGTTCCAGACCTTGTCATAATAACTTCCTTATATATATATATTTCCTTATTTATATATATATATATATATTTCACCAAATTTTCAATGATGTTATTATGCTAAGTTACTAAACTTAAACTCGTAATAAATATTTTCAAACAATAAAAAAAGGATATAGTTTTATATGTTCAAAACAATATTTACTGCTTTTTCTAATTTAAAACGATCGATACGATTTCGTAAAGTAATTTAGCACTAAGATCACCTTAATAACACATTTCATATTCTGAAATATGAAGACTATAGATATGTATTAAATTTAACCTAAAAGTTATTTACATGGGTTTTAACGCTTTAGCTTTTGCCCGCGGCTTCGCTCGCGTTAATTTATCCCCTTAAGGTTGGAATTTACCAAAATCCTTTCTTAGGAGATGCCTACGTCATAGTAGATTTATGCCTGCAAAGTCTCAGCCTGATCGGTTTAAAATCGACAAGTTTCATACAAACTTTCATCCCCTATTTTATACCCTTGGGGGTAGAATTAATCAAAATCCTTTCTTAGCGGATGCCTATGTCTACCTGCATGCCAAATTTCAGCCCGATCCGTCCAGTGGTTTGGGCTGTGCGTTGACAGATCACTATGTCAGTCACCTTTTAGTTATATATCTATAGATATCAAAAGAGACATTACAGGATAAGAGACATAGGGTCTTAGTCCTCCGAAATGGCAACGTATGAACGTTAACACGAGAGTCACATGATAACGTGATTTTTGTACTGCTAACAGGCGGCGGCTACCACTTACCATCAGGTGGGCCGTCAGCTTGTGTTAATACCAAAGACATGAAAAAAAGTTATATAAAAAAACTTACCCAATACACCTAATCTAAAGTTGATAGTAACTACAATTATGTTGCCATGCGCCGCCAGGGTAGTGCCATCATACGCATTACCCGAACTCCACTCGTAAGATTCTCCATGGACGAAGACAAGGCATGGCAAACCCATCGCGTCGCTTTCCACATCCCCTCCTAATTTACATTAATAATTATTATTAAATAGCAGTATAATTAAAACAAGTCTTAGTTCTTTCAATAAAAGTAAATAAGATATAAACTAAAGCTTTATAAAGTTCGTATAAAATAGAAATACTCCGTGAAGTTTTAATGTTTATTTAGTAATAATTGGGTTAGAATAGTATTTGAAATATTATTCATTAATAATTGTCATTATCACTGTTCAATTCAAGTTAATTACACTTCTATACATTTACAGTAAACATCTAAACATAACATATTGTTTCAAAACTCACTAATCAATTACAGTTATGTATATAATCAAGTTTAATGTTCGGTAATTAGTAATCAAATTGTAGTGATTATAACAACAATTGTGGTTAAGTACATATAAATCAATAATAATTGAATAATATTGTCTAACAACGTTTAAGTGGAGATTTTAATTAATTTTTATGAGCTATAAATATTTTATCTATGCGTTTTTTTTTATTTATAAGCAGCCCTCGTGATTAGCTTAAGCGTGCTAATTTCAAGAACGATTGAAATACGGATTTAATGTATGGACTTATTCAATTTATTATTCATTATAGCAAATCTATCAGAAAATTAGTAACCCCAATACTAAAAGAACTTGAGTACAATTGACAGTACATAATATTAAAAAGTTATGAAATACTTGATAAATTAATGAGTAATGACAAGAAAATACAATTCCAATTTCATTCAACAAAATTGAAGGATTAAATTATAAATGTAATATATTTCCAATTAAATCCTTGGATACAATTAGTTTCGTTATGTTGACATTGTCGAGGATTTATTCGTATCGTAATTTATTCCGTAAGCATTTGTTAGCCACATTTAAGCCTTTTCTCACATAATTTAAATAATGTAATGCCTAATCTTTATTGATAATAAAATTCCTATAGTAACTGATTAAACTGGTAAATTTTCCGTTACGAATATTACTATTAGTACATTCTATAAAAATACGAAACCTTAACATTAAAATGTGTTAGGACAAGTTTATTAGTATACATCTAAAATAAACAAATTTAGAAACTGATATTATTAACATAATGAATATTAAGTAGTAACGGGATTTTCGTTCGTATTGTATTACTAATAAATATTATTACTTTAATATGACTTACTTTAGAAAAAAAATTGCTTTAATTCATGACGTATGTATTCTAGAATGTAACATTTTCCTTTTATGCTAAGTTGGTAATCAAAAATTATTCGATTAGATATTAAGCAGGAATATTATAGTTAACATTAACGTTCTATACACGTTGTTCATAGCAACATGTAAATGCCTACTGTGCTTACAAACAATCACAATCGCTTCTAATTGCTCGACAGCTCTTAATATCTGTTTCATAATTATCCAATAACATCCTATAAAGATTGTTAGTGTAAATCTATTTATATATGAATTCACATTTCATAATTGAAATAGTTTGGTAAGAAACATATAAATTTAAATATGTATATAATGTATTTAACTCTATAATTTTCTTTATAATAATGTTACATGTTTAATTGCCGTTTAAATGGTGGTATACGATAAACGTAATATTAGTTGAAGTTCAACGGAACATAATAGAATTATACGAAAATTGTTCTATTTTGGTGCCAAAATGTAAACGAGTTAAAACTTAGACGAAATAAACTTTATCCATTCTTAGTATTTCAAAGTATTAATAACTATCTGATCTATAGGATCGGCATTGGATAATTTTTTGTTGGATAAATTGTGAGAGATATAGATAGATATAATTATAATAGATCGATTTGCTTTTTGTTTGATTATTTTTTTATGTTTATGATTTTGTGGTATAAACTACGACGATTTAAAGACCTGATACATTGTAAGACCGAATCCAACCTACACTAAAAACTGACTCAATTATAAAAATCAAAATGAGTTCAGTTTTGTCAAATATATCCCATACAATATCATACACATAATAAACATCAGAATTCAATTTTTAACAGTGGATTAAAAATGATAACCAAACCAAGAAATATTGCTACGCATAGTTAAGAAAATACTAATAATATACAACAGGTATGTACATACAAACATCAACATAATTAAATTCTGGTTCAATCGTCCACTGATTAAAATACAATTTAATAACAATTAAACAATAAAGCTAAAGACAAAAAATGTAGATACAGAACCCGTAGTCGTGTTACCAATGCTTGTGAATCTTGTTAATATCTCTCTTGACCGTTGAGGTGTTGTTGTGGAATATCTCAACCTCACTTCCGCACTGCTTGCAGGGGACACTATGCACTGCAATGCACTACGGAATTGAGGCCTCGACACCCTGTGACCCACTTCGGCCCCTTTCATTTGATTAATGTCCTCCTGAACTTTGTTGAAAAATACTTGCTTTTTTAATTAAAACTCGTGCAGATTATTACAAATTAATGTAATAAACTAAGTACTACAAATGCAAGTGATGACAAACGAGGTGCTAAGAATAAGTTCACTGAAATAAATTTACATTAAGTTCTTAGTATTCAAATATATATCTTCTAACAATTTTAATGGAAAACATGTTTAGATTTAATTATACAGATTCAACTACTGTTAACACAGTAACTAAACCTAAGAAATTAAAACTATATACATAAATGTAGAATTTACATTTTTATTAACTAACTAAATCTTGATATCAAAGAAATAACATTGTTAATCATAGCTTTATGATCATAGTATCAACCACCACTAGTATCCCACTATAGTATGCTGTCAGAGCAGCCGAATATTTCCATTAAACGAAAACACCATTACTATATCGACATCAATTTTATTTCTGAAACTCAGCCTTACGAACGTCATAATTTTCATTGGTAAGAGTGAAACTGTGCATATTTGAACAGCGGCTTATTTAACGGACAGTGAATTAGCGGTGAAATGACGTGAATAAATTATGAATAAACCGGCTGGCAAGGATTAACGAGCGCCGCGAGACCTTACCGCGAATCACCGCCCCAATAGGCACTCCATTATGTTGATATTATTGTTCTATTCTATCAGATGTTATTTTAATAGGAATACCGTGTTTGAATAAATACTTTAATTAAGGAGACAATTTTAGCAGAACAAAATTAATTGAATGAGAGAAGTCATATCTAAACAAATAATATATCTATAGTATTTTCGACGGTAATGTAAAAAGGAGTGATAATGTCATTTCCATCTATTTCCCAAGAAGTTCTAAACTATCGTTTCAAACATTTCTACATCATTGGAAATTTTAAACGACTAAGTCGTTAACTGATGTGCATACGTTAAACAAGCCCATATTTTTTTTAATCATGCCGATTGTAACAGCGATTAAGAAACAAATATATATAATACCCATATATTTTCAACTATTACTCCCGACTTAAAAGTCACCGGAAAATATTTCCTCTTCATACCTACCCAAAATATAAATAACAACCTAAGAATAATTTAGATAAAAAGTTCATAAACTAAAACACGTCTACCAAAAAATCACGTCTTCCAAAGTCTTCTGAAATTCGTAGCGCTTCTTAACAATGGTCAGCACAACTACTACAGGTAGGTACTAACAGATGAGAACGAACATAAGAAATAGATTTCAACTCGTAACTTATATAAAGTACACTTTGTTCTTTGTAAGTTACTTGACTGTTACAACAATCAGCTTCATGACATCAAACAAGTCGAGTGTAAGAAAACATTTCTTTATATCTGTGGATCAAGAAATTGTCTACCATTCATTATACTTTCAAACTTATTTTATATTGTAATAACATACTTATATGGAAACTAAAATTTTCGTTTCTCTATTAAATATAATATATACATTATTATAGCTAAAACTCGCGAATTTAAAGTTAAGACCAGATACGCTAATCCGCGTTTTGAATATGACACTTATTACGGACATTTATGCAAATTTATAATTCAAAACATAATATCATAATATAATAAAAAAAAACTAATTTTAATAAAAATCACAGTCATAGTCAAACTAAATATTAATAATTATCGTTTACATACACACCCCGGTAAATAGTCTATAGTCATTTTTTTTATTTAGTTCAGTTCGCAACCTAGGTCGTCAGGGACAAGAATTGAAAGATATTCTTAGGAGCTATGGTATTTATCTCCTCAGGATTTAATGTGTACTTCCCAAAGGAGACAATTCGTTTGTCCATGAATGAGTTATATCCACACATAAGTGATAGTATAGATGTGTAGTGGCATTTTCTCTTCAATTTGACAAAATATGCAATTTTTTTAAGCACAGGGCTAAGTTTGCCTTAGGTTTATTTAATTTGGAATATCCAGTAAGTGCCCTAGGTCTGAAAATTGTATCACCTTTCGTTTCAGTCTGTACTCCACATACTGTAACGCGAAGATTATTGTAATGTTTTTTTAGTGGATGTTGATGAAATAGTACATCGGGATGCGCTATATGCATAGTACAGTATATGGCGGGACACAAGTGGTGGATAATAGCATGACTTAAAAGTCAGTTAGCCCATAGTCGAATTCACTAGAAATTAACCAACATATTTTCCAGGTGAGACCTGATATGATATATTACTGCTATAATATACAGCAAAATGTCAAAACCAATAATATCTACTTTAAATAACATATCAGAAATGACAAAGTTTAACAAGGTGGCATAAATAAATATATTTACCGTTAATTGGCACGTAGAGATTAACGTATAGACAGTCTTCACTCTGGTTGGCGAGCACAGGTAACAGCCGTTCGAGTTGACGGATACGCGCGCGTGGATGCACCAGGAGTGCATCATCGCGCGGTGTGGCGGCTGGAGGCGCCTGCGGACAGGCTGGCCTGGGAGCGTCCGCTAGCCGCGTCTCACGCCACTGCGACGGTGTCACCGGCGGCATGTATCTGTTTTATGACGCTCCATTAAGCCACCGTTCCTACAAATTCGGACCAGTCCCTACAAGGATATCGCCAATGCGTAATATGTGCACTCAGCTGTAATCATCATACTGGAATTTTCTCATTACACTATTTTTACGTCCATGTAATAGTATTGTGTTTTATAGAACAAGAATAGGTAAAAAATAACTTTACTTCCATATTTATAATAACTGACTCGCGCAACTTCATCTACGTAACATTTTCCGTTTCTATAATATTTTTCATTATAGTTTAGCTCCTATTGGTCGTGGCGTTATGTTAAAAATTATTTAATCAAGAGTATATCATAACTTATACTACCCATTATTTTTCACTCAGTTCAACTTACTCAGGAATATTAAAAATGTACGTTTATATCGTCTACGACACTGTCACTTTTCTGATTAACTGTATTATCTAATTTTATCAATATTCTGCTTAGTTATATTCTCATTGTTATTATGCTTATATTGTATCATTATTGTATAGTTACTCATTATTTAGTATTTAAAATAATTATACTAACCTGAGACTGCCAAGTGGCGGCGTAGCATACGGTACACCGAGGTACGCCTCGACCTGCGGATGGGAGTGAACAACAATTCCGCGTAGAGGCCCGTACTTAGTGCGCACCACTCGCGTGCTGTATTTGTGCGTAGGCAACGCGGCGGCGCAGCACAGGAGCCACGCGTAGAGCGCGGCGCGGTCCGCGCGCATCACGCGCACCAGCCAGGGGTGAGCGCGGGCGCGGTCGCGGTCGCAGGCGGCGCGCCGCCAGCCACGCGCGCGCTCCTGCGCATCACGCGGCCCGCCACACGCTCGTGCACGCTCGCCGCCCCGCACGCCTCCACTTCATCCCGACACTTCCTTCTCGCGCACACTCCGCCACTGTCATAATACCTACACATTTATGCACTCAAAGAAATCAAACTAATGTCCCTATTATTCTACTGTCGATACTATATAAAATCACCTAAAACAATACTTACCCGAATCATGTTTCCGGAGCGCCGAATAATTTTGTACACAAATCAACCGTAGGGTTAACCTGAAACAAATTAAAAACATTTATCAACAAACAAAAGGAAAATAAAATAATTGGATCGGTTGGCTCGCACACAACTACAATATATGAACGGCAATTTTTCTTCAAATTTCCATTTTAATCAAATATTAACAGAATAAGCCGGGATACGGACAATGGAGTAGGTAGGTAACGGAAAATGTTTACCTAACAGACCTAACTCGACGTTTGTATAATTTAATGTAACACAAACACGACAACAACATCGCATTTCTAAACGAAATTTGCCGTTTTCACAGCGAGCTTCATTTAGTAAAGCATCGCCTGCGGTACTTGTGAAGAAAGACACCCAGGCACCGCTGTTACACCAAGACTGATTTTCATTCTAATTAATCGAGTCTGAGAATCCTAATTACTAAATTTGTAATTGTCGACAGAGACAAGTACGAAATTTACTGTGCAAAACTTATATTTATTGTAAAATACCTATCATAACAGTTTAGTCAAATACCCACTTATAAATTATGAAACAAAAATATAGGTTAAAGCAGTTCCAAATATGTTAAAGTATAAAACACTAAGAAATAAAACATATTTAATGGAAGTGATAGGCATTGATCCTGATCCTCTGTATTGATATTTGGAGCAAGGCAAAAATTTGACAGGTGTCAGATATATTAAAAGGATTTTTGTTGTTGACAGCGGTATTTAGGTATTTACAGGCACATTTGGTTGTGCAAGCGGACCACAAAGAAGTGGCAGAGCCGAAAGCCATCATCAATCATTCGCGTGACAAGCAGAAGCATTGTAATACTTCGCCATTATGGTACACGCACTTTTGATTGCGTCACATAACATACCTTCAGTGGAACGTATTTTGTAATATATACAATATCAAATAAACACACACATACCGCCAAGACTGATATCTCAGCTGTGTTAGTCAGAGCTATCTATGCTATAGTAAACGCTACACTTGAGATTTTGAATCGAACGTGGTAGGTGGCCAGCTCGCCGCCGTCTTTCGGATGAATTTTTGATTTGATATCGATGTTTCCTTCACCGGCGAGTCAGTCAGAAATATAAATAAAATACAATGTTTCTTTTTGGTGTCGGCCAGATTTGAATTTATTTGACTTCTTAATCGTAATTCAAGGCAGTAAACCACATGGCCATGACGCTCTCAATGAAACAAACACTGCACATTAATTTACTAATTTATTGGGCAAGAGACGCGTTAAGGCTATAAATATTTTATATAGTACTACTACTACTACTACTGTACTAAAAATTTACTTTAGAGAAATTAATCTCAGTATTTAATTAATAAATATTTTTCAAATGGCTGACCATTACTTTTAGCGTGATCTAAGAAAATGTTACTGGAAGGAAATAATTCTGCACAAACCGTCTTAATTATCGCCATTATTCACAGGAAAATCAGTAGAGGGAAAGAGGGCTGTAAAAAGTATAAGTCTAAAAATGAAATCTACAATATTTTAAGACACCGGCTTAAAATACAATGCTGCTGGAGAACAAAATATTATCGTTAAAGTATCAGTTCTCAATTTTTCACTGCTTAGGTTTCAATATCAAAGTATAGTTGCTAATGTTAATCCACTATATACAAAGTGCAAGTTAATTTTCATCATGTACTGTACTGTACTGTTACATGTATGTACTGTATCATTTCATGTACTGTCTAAATTATGAATTACTAGTATATTTAATAATTATTAATATTTTTATATATAATATATATATAACTGATTGTTAACTATTGGTAAAGGTCATGTCATATCTCATATATTAAAGATCATATAAAATACATATGTATTTTAACAATAAACAAAATGATTATATTTCTAAATAATTCTTGATTTCAAATACATAGCAATAATGTATGTTATACGGCACTATTCTACAATCGAAGCGATGCTATAGCAACTTTATTTTGTAATAGAGCCTGAAACGTGCTTATGTCATAAATAATTGCCAATTTTAAAGACTCAACCAGCTCAATCTATTATTGAGCAGATAACGAAGACTAATTGCATCACTGTGCAGCAAGTTACCACTCTATTTTCCGAACTGGCTGGCAGCAATTTATAACACCACTATACTTTGTAATTTGCCAGATAAAATTGTAGCTAGTTATTTTATACATTGTTAAAATTTCAACTAGGAAAATAATAAGGCCTGAAATGAAGACGACGTTAACATGTTAATTTTTTAAGCATGATCGAGCAGCGGATGTCGCGTATCGTTGAAGATAAGGCGGAGATTACCTAGACATAGCGTTCAGGTCAAATTGTGATTACGTGTATGAATTTAAATATATGGTTCTATACCAATTACTACTTTACATGTCTACTTTGTTGCTGTTTATAACGAAAAACGTCTAAACGATAAACTAAAATATAACTCACTTAGTTTTATTTCCGTTTAAAATCACTGCAATTAGTTAAGTAGTGGCCCGTTTAGTTTTTAAGTACATTAAATACCTTTTTGCAGCGTTTATCTCGTCTATGTCTTTAGTTGTGATCGATCGCGTGCCCGCTCTACCGCAACCTATAAACGTTATTACCATCTTAAACTTTATGTACAACATTGACACGATAATGTGCTTAACGTGGCAGGTTATGGTACCATATTCCACTCGCAAAACGATGTAGAAATGTTACGTGAATTTCTAATGATGGTTCAAACAGGTGTTACCGTCGATACTCAGGTACTTTTCAAGTTGGTAGGCAGTTCGATAACAGGTCTAATAAAATGCTTGTCTAATATTATAAAGAGTTAAGACTCTATTTTTTAATTCTAACAGATAGATTGCAAAAATACTTAATTGACTTAAAAAAATATTCCGGCCTAACTATTTTTTGTTTTAATTAGTAAAGTATTTAACATAATTTGACCTTTACGACGTCGGGTGGCATCGTTTACTTAAAATTAGTAGTTTATAGTTATATCATAGTTCATTAGTTAATATAAAAATCTTCTTATATTGTATAAATACGTCTTTAAAGGAGACTTAGTTCAGCAATGCCAATAAAGTCACGGTTTACTATAATGAGACCATTTGTTTTAAATTTGTGAAGAGGGTAAAATTTATCGACTGGGATCGAATAAATATTGTAGTGCCGTATTTCTGCAGTAAATAAGATTTCCCATGGAGAATTGTTGTTTAATTTTAGTTAAGATAAAAATTAGATTAGGTAGCCTGTAATAAGTCTTGTAAGCATTCCTAGATAGCCACTATTTGCTATCAGGTAGAATAGGGTTATCTATCAACACAGTATTATTTCATAATGTAATGACATTTTTTAATGAATTTTAGAGACTATAAAATATTATGTTTGTAACATTATATATTATAATTAGTGTTTGTTATTTTATTATTATATGTATTTATACGTAATGTTTCCAAATATAGTAGATATTGATAAATAAAAATTTTCAAGCATTGAATAATTAGGGGTGATTTCATATAGGTACACTAAAATATTATATTATAGATGTATTTATTTAATCATTGTATTTTAGAATGTACCAAAAAAATTCATAGACACAAACCAATGTTAAGATAGGAGATATATATATATTTATAGGAGATATTATGTGTCTATCCTCATAATATAATCTATATTCACATCTTCCATTCAGATGTTTAGTTAGTCATAGAACAGGTAATGAACATACAGACATACAAACACAATTTCGCATTTATAATATTAGTGTGGAAACATGGTTAATGGTAAACTAAAATATTACACATTATAATACAAAATTAACATGGAAATGAAGATGTAATTTATCAAGGAAGTTTCATCTAGTGCATGATAACGAGCATACAACACACATGTAATTGATGTACCAATTTATTTACAAAAGTTTCTGTCTCTCTCCCAAATGTGCGAAGTTGAATTACCTAACTCTTGTAACTCGTCGCACAGGTGTTCACCAAGTGTTAATTAATGTATGTACAGGGGAAATTTATATCGTGTTACACATAATGGATAAACACCAAAAGTAACGGTGACGGTGTGGCGATGAATCGGTTTCATTACACACGCAGTATGCCGTAAAGTAATGTCTTAGTACTAAATATCAATACGCTACCGTAGCAATTACTTGTACAAGGAGATTTCATTAATTTTCATCGCTTGTTTGTTACTTAAGTTCACTTGTCGTTAGGTATTTATTGGGTTTAAATCTCGTAAATCACTTTTGAATCAGCTCCTAATTTCCATTTGTAATTCAATACTTCCAACCAGACATTATTACAATATAAACTCGATAATTAAGTAAATATGATATAAAAGCATTTATTCTGATGATGGTGTTGCATAATTTACTTAGCCTAGTACATCAAAGGGGACTTTTCATGTAGATGTAACACAACACAACATAGACACATGAATCAAAATGGTTTTTAATATATACATTAAGTAATATTTATTATTACCTAATAAAATATTCTTTTAACATCATATAAAAAATATTCCTATACAAACAAATTAAAAAGAGAAACCCTTAAGCCTGTAATGAAAGAGCCAAGAAAGTAAATTTATATTATATTATTGATTAGTTTTAATCCTAATGTACATTAAACAAATAATTTAACTACGAAAAAGATCAAAAAATAATTTATGTACCTACATAAATTATTTTTTGATACCTACATAACATATGTTTAAAAAATACTATTTATCTTGAGAGAGCCGAAGTGACATTATTAGCCATTTTAAATATCCTCGCACAGTATAATTAATTGTATTCATGAGTATGTTAGTTTTGGTGTTTTCTATATATAGTATATAATACATACAAAACAAATATTTATATCAATGGTCTACTATTCATAACACAACCTTTACTTGGTACTAGATTATTAAATATAACATAAATTCAACAAAATTCAGTAATGATAGAAAGCTATGGTTATGTATAATAAGTGATAAATTATAAAGGTAAAACCCACAGAAACTTCCTAAGATGTCGGATAATCTAAAGGATTTTGT